GTGGGAATAAATACTGCATTCAACCAAAAGAGTGCAGATTATGAAGTCTGTATAGTGTATTGCCCTTCAGTAATCATTAGATTTAAATAGAGAAGAATCCGACTGCCTGATGCAATAGTTCAAACTACAGGATTTTTTACCCCGAACGACAATCTTAGAACGTTCTTCGTTCTAAGATTGTCCCTTGTGTGTTACGGTAGATCGTCGTGGCCGCTCCGATCTAAATCAAGGATTTGCCCAGACCGGGAGCTTAATGCAGCCTGTTGAATGTGACCGGGAGCCAATCAGAAAGCGCGGATTCTCCTCGTGCTTTCTGAGGGGAAACACGGAGAGAATCCCGAACAGCTGACACGATGCAACCCGAACTCCAGCAGACATCGGAAACAACATGAATGTTTATTCAACAGTTCGTGCAAAAAAATATAAATAACTAGGGGAGGAGTTGGAGCGAAATTACTACCAGAAAACCTGGTAACTTTTCAGCTGTTCTTCCTTAACGTGACATAAAATGGTTATAATAATTTTCATTCAGTCAGACTGACACTAGCCACATGCATTGCAGGAAGATTGTAGTAAGGAATTGATTAATGCCTGGTTTCAAAACTAGTGAACTGGACTTATTATTTTGTGTCCATTGTTGGACACAAACACGGTTTCGATCGAACCGCAATACCGAGGATTCTGTCTCTCGGGTTTTGAAAATGGGTCAACAATCTGCGACATCAGATTGTGCAGCGCGCGCTGGGTATTACACTAAGGAAATAAGGAAGGGAGAGTCGGTGGAGAGCACCGGAGTTGAGCCTTTTTTCATTCAGTGTCATCAACAGTAAGAGAAAAAGGCAGGAAGAAACGATATAGATGATAATTGAAATGACGTCGATAGTTTTAATTTATCATGCGATTGATTTATCGTTTATCGCGACAGGCCTAGACAAGACCATCAAAAATGGTCTCAAGTCCTACAACACTGAAAGAACAATTTCCCTAGCATATTTCATGAGGAAAACACATCTCACCCATGTGGGTTCTAAAGAGCATAAGTAATACATTTCAAAGCAAATCTTTTCACAAGTTGTCTTCAAAGCAGTCCCCGATATGTATGAGTTTTCATGTGAATGTTCAAATTATCCTACGATTGAATCTTCTCCCACAAGTTTGACAAGGAAAAGGCTTCTCACTCGTATGAATCGCCTTGTGACGATTTAAAATACTCATTTGACAGAAACTCTTTCCACATGACTGGCATGAAAAAGGTTTCTCACCTGTATGGATCGTCCTGTGACGATTTAAAATACCCATTTGACAGAAACTCTTTCCGCATGACTGACATGAAAAAGGCTTCTCACCTGTATGAGTTCTTTTGTGGTCCTTTAAATTACCAAGTCGAGAGAATCCCTTTCCACATAACTGGCATGAAAAAGGCCTCTCACCCGTATGAATTGTTTTATGGCGATTTAAAACATAACTTAGAGAGAAACGTTTTCCGCATGTTTCACATGAAAAAGGTTTCTCACCACTGTGGGTTTTGTAATGGCTTTTCAATTTACACTGTTGTGGGTAACATCTCCCACAAATGTCACATTTGATTTTTTCTCTGCACTGGTATCAGACTGACTCTCTGACATGGAGGAGCTGCTTCCTTCCTGATCTTTTCCCTCAACCACCGGAGAGACATGAAGGAAAGATGCTCTGTTATTGTCTCTTCTTCATTCATGTCATCTTCCTGAACAGTAGAAGTCTCAATCAAAGCAGCAAACTGTTTCTGGACAGTTTGCTGCTCTGCCTCCTGACGGCTGCAGAGGTTCTTCTGGTCCTGTCCAGTTGATAAATGTTCTGGTGGCTGCTGTTCATGTTGAAGCACTGAAGAATCTTGCTCTTCTTTTCTTACATTTGTTAGTGGATATTCTATTTCCTCATGTTTGAAGAATGCAGGTTCTGGTTCCTCCTCTTCTTCTTTAATCCATTTAGGCTCTGGTTTAATCTGTTCCTCTTCAGTCCACTGATGTTCTTTCTGGTCCTGATTGGACCTATTTGCCGGGCTAAAGGCTTGTTGGTTGGCAGAAACTTCCTCTTCATTGGAGACACTTGGCTGTTGAAGGTCTGTGGGAACAAAAGATGACATTCATATAATTTAATTGACCATCTCATGTGTCAGTCTCATTTTTCCTGGAGATTGTGGTTTGTAGGCATCAAACAGTTAATCTCAAATAAGTTTTGTAGAGTTTCACTGAAAAGCAGGTAAAGAGTCCAACAGACTAATTTGCAGTCATGGCAAAAATATTCAAAAGATTTTTATCCACAAGTTTCATACCATTTTTTAAATTAAACATTTAATTCTAGAGCATTCTTATAGTGAAGAACACATCCCACATTAAGACAATATGTTTTTAATTTTACTTGTACACCACTTTTTAAAGTTGATTAGATTGTGTAGAAACTTAAATCAGCATAACATGGCATTCTTGTTCTCTGGAATATAAATATGATGAGACACCAAGAGTTGTTTCACTAATCTTCTGTTCAAAAGTAGAAAGAGAAGAGTGCATTTTCTTTAATAAGGCAGATGTGTTGATGTCCAAAAGGAATTGGATCCAAGAAAATACTAAAAAGACTTGCCTGAAATGCAAACCTATTCATTACTGCTCTGACTGTGCATTTAGATTAGTAACTGGAAGTGTGAGAGATGAGGCTGGATGAGGTTATCTCATTACCACACGCTGAGGGAGATGGTGGTGAGGGTCACCACCATCTCCCTCAGGTCTCCCCTGCCTGGTCCCAATACTCAGGCTACACCTTACACCCCTCTATGAAGTGTGGACTCAGTCAAAGAGCCCATCAGGATTCAAGTGTGTAGATATCAAGCATGCAAAAATTTGAGTATTGGGACAGTTCACCCCTGTGTGCTCTAACTTCACCATCCAAAATAGTGGGACTGGTCACGGTTTAGGTTATTTGTGATCGTAAAAAGTACAACTACAACCAAAAATAGATTTTAAATGTACATTATAGGTATTTTTGCTGTCCAAAGTTATTGCTGGAGATATTTGACTGTTTAAATGTGTTTTTTATACCTTCAATCAACCAATTTTATTTATAATCACCCTTCAAACTAAAAGCAGCGCAAAGTACTGTACAGATCAATAAACAACAAACAATTATCCACCCCAACCCCACATGGAAAAAAACACAACTGCATTGAAAATGCACAGACTAAGCAAAAATGATTGAATTCAGTTAATAGAATTTTTAAAAACTGTCTTAAAGACAGCAATGTTTCCTGGAGTCATTTCCTCAAACGGGGGACATAACACTGGAAAGTGCCTCACACTAAGTGACTCTGGAACAGTTATAGTTCAGTGCCAGAGGAGCTCAGGGTCTGAAGGAATTCATAAGGAAATGCAGCTCTGCAAGATAAGTTCAGAGTCTCGTAAACAAACTTTCTGTTTGTGCTGCAACATTTTGTCCTGAGCTCCAAAACTATCAGCCTCTGTAGCATCGGAGCTAGCAACTATCAGAGCTAGCAGCTAACACAGCTAGCAGCTAACACAGCTAGCACAATTCCTGTTAGCAGCTGGAGCTGCAGCAACTATCTCCTCTGACGGATCTCTGTCTGCAGTGAAAACATTTGATCCAGACCCACCAGAACTTTGTCTCTGCAGCTCCGAACCGACTCTGTGTAGCTTAATGTCTGGTTTCCAGCTGATCCCCATCATCCTGCGCTGAGCATCGAGCTCTTCGTAGCTAATGATGGTTTTTTTTTCAACCTCTGTGAAGATTTCCTCCGCAGCAGCAGTTAGTCTCTCTCTGATAAACTCTCTGAGATGCTGAACTGAACACATGGTTGCTGGAATAGTCGCTCAGATGGAACAATGCAGCAGTTTAGTAGCTTAGCGTATGCAGGCCTCTTCTTTTCTATTATGGCGGATCGAAAGCAACTTTAAGCTATGGCGCCACCTACTGTACATGAGTGTGCAGCAACATTACATCCATTAAATTCTATTGTCTTAAAATGTATTCTGAAGAAAAATACATGTAATACTTATTACAGCGAATCTGCGTGAGTTAAATGACTATGCTTTCCTAAATCCGTAAATATTCACTATATTTCCGTCATTTTCCAATATTCCTTTAAGACTCCATTCCTGTCCTTCTAACTATTCTTCTCAATCTCTCCCTTTCAGGCTCAACCCACTGCAGGTTTATTATAACTGCCACCATTTCCACTGTAAAAGCAGATATTTGCTCTGATAATTGTTTGGAAAGATATATATTTTAAAATCTGGTATATACATATTCCTATTCCCACACATTCTTTTATATTCTTAGAACCGTCTGAATATATTTTAAGGTAATCACAATGTAATTTTCTTTAATATATGTCTGTCTTTACCCCTGCTTCCTTTAAATTCCAATCATTTTTTATTTTATGAAGTCTCATGTCTTTATTTACCTTAGGAAATAGCCATAGAGGAACAACACTAATCAATTTAATCTGCGCTGTTTCCTTGTTCTCTAATCCATACATTTTATCCCATTTAGCTACAATGCATCTTAATCCATTAATCTGAAATTTTGAATATTACCAACAGTTTTGTAAAATTGTTGAAGTTACATTTTCTTTCAATATTCTGATATCATTTTATTCATCTAATTTCCATTGGAGTCTCTCCAGTCTTTATTAATAGAACTTTAATAGGTTTTCACTGTAAGACTCTGTAGTTGTGGATTTAAATATTGTTGGCAATGTCTTCCAGTAACATAATTTCCCAGTAATATTTTTATATTTTCTGTCAATGTAACATTTTTTAATACAACACAATGGACTGCAAATTAGTGCAATAACACCCCCGAATGAACTGGAGTGTGTGGACAGGCGATAAAGGGGGAAAAGAAGTACTTCATATTAATTAATGTCTTATTTCCAGACAAAAGTAGTCCATACCATTTATAAAACAATAAAACCATCCGCCACAAACCACATAACCAGTTATTCCAATGAATATAAAAAAAGAAAAAAGTATTTATTTTAGCTCTCTTAAGAGTTCTGCAGTTGTTTGATAGATCCAAGCAGCACATACATTTATGAATGACATTTTTTTTCACGGATATGTTTTCAATAAAAAACAAATTAATGGGTATCCAAAATTAGGTGAGGATCCCATGTGTTTTGCAAAGTGAAAACAATCCAAGACATTGTTTAATACTTACTACAGCGAATCAGTGTGAGTTAAATGACAAATTCTCATTTTTGTGTAATGTGAAATTTCAGTTTATTATAATAAAAGAACACTTTCAACCCCATATTTCTTTTGGAAAACACATCTCCCCCATGTGGGTTCTAAAGACGATAAGTAATACATTTTTTCACAAGTTGTCTTCAAAGCAGCACCCGACCTGTATGAGTTCTCATGTGAATGTTCAAATTATCCCTACGATTGAATCTTTTCCCACATGTTTGACAATGAAAAGGCTTCTCACTCGTATGAATCGTCTTGTGACGATTTAAAATACTCAATTGACAGAAACTTTTTCCACATGACTGACATGAAAAAGGCCTCTCACCAGTATGAATTGTCTTGTGACGATTTAAAACGTAATTTAGAGAGAAACTTTTTCCGCATATTTCACATGAAAAAGGTCTCTCACCAGTATGAGTTCTGTAATGTTTTTTCAATTTACACTGTTGTGTGTAACATCTCCCACAAATGTCACATTTGAAAGATATTTTCTTTGTGCTGTTGTCAGACTGACTCTTTGACACAGAGCAGCTGCTTCCTTCCTGATCTTTGTTCTCAACCACTGGAGAGACATGAAGGGAAAGCTGCTTAGTTCTTGTCTCTTCTTCATTCATGTCATCTTCCTGAACAGTAGAAGTCTCAATCAAAGCAGCAAACTGTTTCTGCACAGTTTGCTGCTCTCCCTCCTGACGGCTGCAGAGGTTCTTCTGGTCCTGTCCAGTTGGGAAATGTTCTGGTGGCTGCTGTTCATGTTGAAGCACTGAAGAATCTTGCTCTTCTTTTCTTACATTTGTTAGTGGATATTCTATTTCCTCATGTTTGAGTAGTGTAGGTTCTGGTTCCTCCTCTTCTTCTTTAATCCATTTAGGTTCTGGTTCCATCTGTTCCTCTCCAGTCCACTGATGTTCTGCCTCTTTCTGGTCCTGACTGGACCTACTTGCCAGGCTCCTGACTTGTTGGATGGCAAAAGCTTTCTCCTTATTGGAGACAGTTGGCTGTTGGAGGTCTGTGGGAACAAAGAATATCATTAGTATAATTTAATTGATGACTCTCTCCTGGGTCAACCTGGGTGTTCCTGGAGATGTTGGTCAGCAGGCGTCAAATGATTAATCTAAAGTTAGTTTGTGGAGTTCAATGGAAAAGTAGACAAAGAGTCCTCAATACTGAATTACAACTGTGGCAAAAATGTTCTAAAGATTTCAATGCAGAAGTACAGTTTCATACTTTTTTTTTCAACGAATTTATGTTTAATTTTAGAGCATTCATAAAGTGAAAATTCATCCGAGATTAAGACAATATTTTCTTAATTGCACTTGTAACCTCACTTTTTAAAGTTGATTAGATTGTGTTGAAACTTAAATTAGTAAAACATTCTGGCTCTCTGGGTTATAAATGTGATGAGACACAGAGACTTGTTTCAGTAATCTACCGTTCAAAGGAAGAAAAAGAAGAGGATTTTCTTTAATAAGGCAGATGTGTTGAAGTTCAAAAGGAAGTGGATCCAAGAAAATGCTGAAAACCTATTAATTACTGCTTTGCCTCTGCATTTAGATTAGTAACTGAAAGTGCGAGAGATGTGGCTGGATGAATGATCTCCATCTGGTTTTCAGAAACTCGTAAAAAATGTCTGTGCTGCAACATTTTGTCCTATCAGCCTCTGTAGCATCAGAGCTAGCAGCTAACAGAGCTAGCAGCTAACAGTTCCTGTTAGCAGCTGGAGCTGCAGCAACTATCTCCTCTGACGGATCTCTGTCTGCAGTAAAAACATCCACACTTTTATATAGACCCACCAGAACTTTGTCTCTGCAGCTCCGAACCGACTCTGTGTAGCTTAATGTCTGGTTTCCAGCTGATCCCCATCATCCTGCGCTGAGCATCGAGCTCTTCCTCGTAGCTAATGATGGTTTTTTCAACCTCTGTGAAGATTTCCTCCGCAGCAGCAGTTAGTCTCTCTCTGATAAACTCTCTGAGATGCTGAACTGAACACATGGTGCTGAAATATTCGCTCAGATGGGACAATGCAGCAGTTTAGTAGCTTAGCGTATGCAGGCTTCTTCTTCTTTTCTATTATGGCGGATCGCAAGCAACCTGAAGCTATGGCGCCATCTACTGTACATGAGTGTGCAGCAACATTACATCCATTGAATGTAATAAAAGTATTACTGATTAAACTGTAGCTTTAAAGCTTAAGTTTAATCTGTATTGCTTTAATAACAAATTCATGTCAGATCATGATTTTTTGGTTATTGTCAAGATGTCATAACAAATACATTTTGTTTTGACACTTTTTACAAATATGTCATGATTTTCCAGAAGACACTTTTATGACAATGGTTATAAATGTACATGAAGACTTACTCATGTAGATGACAGGTCTAGCTCATGTGTCATGACAATTTTATTCACAACCCATCAAATAAAGTGTTACCATTACTTTTACTGCTTTTAATCTTGCTTCAAACAGATTACTGCACCGTTGCATGTATAATTCACGATCAGTAAATATTGTCATGATGTCACTGCTGGACCAGAGAAATCAAGGAAGTTGCAAGGATTCACAGTTTTACTTTAAATGGGTAAAACAGGCTCAAAATAATTGTGACAACTGCACACAATTTTATTTTTTATTTTATTTTTAGTCGTGGGGCCCAAAATTACCATCATGAAAAACACCCCCCCACACACATTTCATGTGAAAAACACATCTCATCCCAAGAGGGTTCTCCTAACTATGTCTAAATGATCAATTTCACAGAAAACCTTTCCACAAGTTTTGCTTTAAAAATGCGTCTTGCCTGCATGAATTCTCGTGTGGGTTTTTAAACTATGAGATTTAGAGAAACTTTTTCCTCACAATTTGCATGAAAAAGCCTCACCTGCATAAATATTCCTGTGGCGATATAAATGGATAATTTGGGTGAAGGTTTTTCCGCAAGAGTGGCATGAAAAAGGCCTCTTAACTGCATGACTTTTCTCGTGGACTTTTAAATCAGAAAGTTGTGAAAAACTTTTTCCGCATATTTCACATGAGAAAGTTTTCTCACTAACATGAGTTCTGGAATGTATTTTCAGCTTCCACTGTTGTGTGTAACATATCCCACAACTGTCACATTTGAAAGATCTTTTCTTTTACTGGTACCAGACTGACTCTTTGACACAGGCCTGCTGCTTCCTTTCTGATCTTTGCTCTCAACCACTGGAGAGACATGAAGGGAAAGTCGCTCTGTTCTGGTCTCTTCTTCATTCATATCATCTTCCTGAACAGTAGAAGTCTCAATCAAAGCAGCAAGCGGCTTCTGCACAGTTTGCTGCTCTCCCTCCTGACTGCTGCAGAGGTTCTTCTGGTCCTGTCCAGTTGATAAATGTTCTGGTGGCTGCTGTTCATGCTGAAGCACTGAAGAATCTAACTCTTCTCTTTTTACATTTAATAGTGGATATTCTATTTCCTCATATTTGAGCAGTGTAGGTTCTGGTTCCATCTGTTCCTCTCCAGTCCAATGATGTTCTGCTTCTTTCTGGTCCTGACTGGACCAACTTGCCAGGCTCCAAACTTGTTGGATGACAGGAGCTTTCTCCTCATTGGAGACACTTGGCTGCTGGAGGTCTGTGGGAATTACATTGATATAATTTAATTGATGACTCTCTCATGGGTCAACTTTGTTTTCCAGGAGATTCTGGACTGTAGACATCCTTCTGTCCATCTACAATTAGTTTATAGAGTTTAACTAAAAATCAGGTTAAGTTTTCCTCACTAAATTGGAGCTGTGGGCAAAATGTTAAAAAGAATTTCAAATACATTCCAATTTTAATCTAGAACTGGGATTTTTCCTCTTGACAGACAGGACCACAGGTTTGATCTGCTAGATCAGGGCTGTACAACCAACTCTGTGGCTCAGTTATTACCAGAAACAATGAATTATTGCCCTTATTTGATGAATCCGTTTGTTCTGTGCCCCTATGAAAAACAACACATCTCATCCTGCGTCTCCCCTCTCCTTCCTAATAACCTCCACTGCTCTATTCTGATCTGGATGTTTGCGGACGGACAGAATGCAATCATTTTTTTAAGATTTACGAAATCACGTATGAGGTTACAAATGAAGACTTTACATCTTATTCGCAAGATTTCAAGCATTATAACAATTTGTATATTTTGTCAGGGAGCTTTACTCATAAAGGTTTTCTGTTTATGCTGAGCTAAAAAACTATCAACATTTGTAGCATCAGAGCTAGCAGCTAAAATCAGAGCTAGCAGCTGAAATCAGTTTCAGTTCAGCCCCTTTTAACAGCAGCTGCAGCAAATATCTCTGTTTGCAGCAAAAGCATGAGCACCTTTGTCCAGACCTACCAGAACTTTCTCTCTGAGACTCCAATCCAATTCTGTGTAGCTTTATTTTTGGTTTCTTGTTGATCCCCATCATTCTGTGCTGAGCATGCTTCTGGAAAAGCTCCTCTCCCTCCTGTCTGCTGCAGAGGTTCTTCTGGTCCTGTTCAGTTGGTAAATGTTCTGGTGGCTGCTGTTCATGTTGAAGCACTGAAGAATCTTGCTCCTCTTTTGTTATGTATATTACTGGATATTCTGTTTCCTCATGTTTGAGTAGTGCAGGTTCTGGATCCATCTGTTCCTCTCCAGTCCACTGATCCTGACTGGACCCACTTGCCAGGCTCCTGACTTGTTGGATGACAGGAGCTTCCTCCTCATTGGAGATACTTGGCTGTTGGAGGTCTGTAGGAACAAAACCAACATGATTAATATAATTTAATTGGTGACTATTTCATGTTCTGGAGATGTTCGACTGAAAAGCAGTAACAGCCTAAAATTTTGGTTGGATGAATGGAGTAGCTAACATTTTTCTTTAACACCTGAGTAATGATACTTTACACAGGAAGAACATATCTTAATTTTTTTTAACTTACATAGAAAAATCTCACAAAATCCTCATTATAGCAGAAAGAACGATGGACACTGTGAAAAGGCTTACAATATTCAATTATGCCGCATTAAATGATTATTGCGAGGTAACGCAAAAATAAATACTTCCCTATGTTCCTTAGGGGACTCCGTAGCGTGGACGGACAGCATGTAGTTTTTTTTAAATATTATTTAGAAAATCACGTATTAGATTATAAATGAAGAATTTCCACTTTGTACTCCAAATTTCCGTCGCTAAAACCAATTGGAGTTATGTGTTGAGTCGGGGGCTAAACTCTGTAGCATCAGAGCTAGCAGCTAACAGAGCTAGCAGCTAACACGGTTCCTGTTAGCAGCAGCTGGAGCTGCAGCAACTATCTCCTCTGACGGATCTCTGTCTGCAGTGAAAACATCCACACTTTTATCCAGACCCACCAGAACTTTGTCTCTGCAGCTCCGAACCGACTCTGTGTAGTTTAATGTCTGGTTTCCAGCTGATCCCCATCATCCTGCGCTGAGCATCGAGCTCTTCCTCGTAGCTAATGATGGTTTTTTCAACCTCTGTGAAGATTTCCTCCGCAGCAGCAGTTAGTCTCTCTCTGATAAACTCTCTGAGATGCTGAACTGAACACATGGTTGCTGAGATATTAGCTGAGATGGGACAACGCTGCAGTTTCCTAGTTTCGGTCATGCGTACTTCTTCTGCTTCTTCTTCGATTTTTTGCAGTTGGCAAACAAGAAATTTGGTGCAATATCGCCCCCTACGTAACCGGAGTGTGGACAGCCGAAAAATAGGTAAATAAAACCTCTTATGAAATTATACATCTTTATTACAAGACAAAAAGTGGTCTATGCAATTAGAAAAGAATAAAATACACAAATCATCAAGTAAAAAATCACGAGGCAGATAAATGATGACTCCAATAGTTAGTAGGATTAGAAATATCTAATATCACCATATGTTGCAGGTGTCAGAGCTTATATTGTGAAGTTACACCACAGGTGAGTTATATATGTCAGTGCAACACGTTTCAAAGCGGAACAGTTTAACCATATCTGCAGAGATGCTAATTTTCAGTGTCAATACATTCATTTGCATACAAGAATGAAATTATGATAAACCCAAAGGCCCATGACCGACAGGCTTTATTTTTAATATCAATAGAAAAAATAGCAGATTTGTCAATAATATCAATTTTTGTTTTACTTGTTTTTAGCAGTAAAAATTAAAAGTTGCCAGATCAAAAAGCAAAGATCCTATTTTCTGAACATTAAATTATTTGTATTATTTTCTGCATTAAATTATTTGCTCCTACTTAGTGAACTTGACAGTAACAGAGTTCAGTAGCAGGCAAAGTATACTGCTCAAAAAAATAAAGGGAACACTGAAACAACACAATATAACTCCAAGTAAATCAAACTTCTGTGAAATCAAACTGTCCACTTAGAAAGCAACGCTGATTGACAATCAATATCACCTGCTGTTGTGCAAATGGAATAGACAACAGGTGGAAATTATTTTCATATTTATTTCATTCATTCAGATCTAGAATGTGTTGAGTGTTCCCTTTATTTTTTTCAGCAGTGTACAACTGTGAGGGTTGAACTATGCAGTCAAGAAAAGAACATTCAGGTTTTCACAGATAAGAAGAAAGGAAAAAAAAGAGAAATTTAAGAGTTTCTCTTCATAAGCCAGTTTGTCTTCAAGAGACGTGGATAGACTGTAGTTTGAATGCAATACGCTCCCAGACTGCCTCCTCACCGGCCTTTATGCTACACTCTGTGGCAGGAGACAAGGAGCCCAGCAGGTAACCGGAGTAATAGTCACGGTGACAGGAGACAGCGTTCTCCGTCTTATGGAGAATGTATGGTGAGGCGACAGTCGCTAGCTCTCATCTAGCCGAGCAAAATCCATACTTTCTGCATGTGACATTTCTAACTCATACACGTGGATTATACACTATGCAATAAAGTTGAAAACTTTTCATCTTTTGTTGCTTTCGTCACTATGGTGTGTTGGGTTCAGACTGATTGGAAGAAAATTTATGTTTTTAACTACCTGTGTGTTTAGCAGATACCAAGAAAACGAGAGGAGAGAGAAACTTTTTGTCATTCAGTGTCTTTGTAGATGGATAGACAACAAAAACACAGAGGCAATAGCCATTATTTCATTGTTAAGCTCATATTTATTTACTGTTGATTTATTGTTAATCATGAAGACCCTTCTCAAATGTATGACTGTTCTTGTGACGATTTAAATGACAAATTTGAGAGAAATTCTTTCCGCATAACTGGCATAAAAAAGGCCTCTCACCCGTATGACTTTTGGTGTGGCGATCTAAGTGACTAAGTCGAGAGAAATTCTTTCCGCATGATGGGCATGAAAAAGGTCTCTCACCTGTATGAGTTCTCTTGTGACGATATAAATTACTAATTTGAGAGAAATGTTTTCCACATGATGGACATGCAAAAGGTTTCTCACCTGTATGAATTCTCTTGTGACGATTTAAATCTCTTATTAGAGAGAACCTTTTTCCACATGTTTCACATGAAAAAGTCTCTCGCCAGTATGAGTTCTGTAATGGTATTTCAAGTCATATTGTTGTGAGTAACATCTCCCACAAATGTCACATTTGAAAGATTTTTTTTTTGTGCCGGTACGAGACTGACTCTCTGACACAGAGCAGCTGCTTCCTTCCTGATCTTTGCTCTCAACCACTGGAGAGACATAAAGAGAAAGATGCTCTGTACTTTTCTCTTCTTCATTCGTTTCATCTTCCTGAACAGTAGAAGTCTCAATCAAATCACCAAACTGTTTCTGCACAGTTTGCTGCTCTCCCTCCTGACGGCTGCAGAGGTTCTTCTGGTCCTGTCCAGTTGGGAAATGTTCTAGTGGCTGCTGTTCATGTTGAAGCACTGAAAAATCTAGCTCTTCTTTTTTTACATATAACAGCGGATATTCCATTTCCTCGTGTTTGAAGAATGTAGGTTCTGGTTCCTCCTCTTCTTCTTTAATCCATTTTGGTTCTGGTTTAATCTGTTCCTCTCCAGTCCACTGATGTTCTTTCTGGTCCTGAATGGACCTTCTTGCCAGGCTAAAGGCTTGTAGGTTGGCAGAAATTTCATCCTCATTGGAGACACTTGGCTGTTGGAGGTCTGTGGGAACAAATTTAATTGATGACTCTCTCATGGATCAGCCTGCTTTTCCCTGCAGATTCAAGTCTGTGGGCATCATATGGTTAATCTAAAATTAGTTTATATATTTTAACTAAAAAGAAGGTGAAGTGTCCTCCACATTAATTTGTTGCCATGGCAAAAATGTTAAAAAGATTTCAAATATATTCAGATTTTAATCTAGAAGAACAGTTTCATACAGATTCTTTTTAATTTACAATTAAGTGTTTAACTATAGGGCATTCATACAGTGAATAGCTCAAAATACATTAAAACAATATGTTTTTAATCTCACTTGTAACCTTATGTCTAGCCTCATTTTTTCAAACACTGAGGATGGTGGAGCAGCTCAACACATCTCAGGTCTCTGTGAGAAAACTGCAGCCAAGATCCTCCTGGAGTCATCAGGTCTCCACAGACACATGAAAACTGAATGTCTGGGAGACAAAGAAATAATTTCCTGTTATCACTGTTGGAATCATCTGATCCAGTTAACCTGACTATGTCCCACACAACAAATGTGCAGCGACAGAGAAAAATAATTTGCATGTTTCTACTTTGACACACTTTGGCCGTTTCCTTGTTATTGTTGTTTCATCCCTTTGTTTTGTGTCCGTATGAAAAAATAACAGCTCATTCCGCGTCTCCTTCATAAAACTCTGATTTACAAAATCATGCATGACTTTACAAATGAACAATTTACACATTGTATTCCAGATTCCCAGCACTAATAACAATTAGTAATATAATAATTATGAGGCTTGACTCATAAACACGTTTGTGCTAAACTCTGTAGCATCAGAGCTAGCAGCTAACACAGCTAGCAGCTAACACGACTCCTGTTAGCAGCAGCTGGAGCTGCAGCAACTATCTCCTCTGACGGATCTCTGTCTGCAGTGAAAACATTTGATCCAGACCCACCAGAACTTTGTCTCTGCAGCTCCGAACCGACTCTGTGTAGCTTAATGTCTGGTTTCCAGCTGATCCCCATCATCCTGCGCTGAGCATCGAGCTCTTCCTCGTAGCTAATGATGGTTTTTTCAACCTCTGTGAAGATTTCCTCCGCAGCAGCAGTTAGTCTCTCTCTGATAAACTCTCTGAGATGCTGAACTGAACACATGGTTGCTGAAATATTCAGATTAGATGGGACAATGCAGCAGCCATCTATTTTAGACCATGTAAGCTGCTTCTTCTTCGATCGTTTTTTTGCGGTTGATGTAGAACGAAATTGGTGCAATACCGCCCCCTCCTGAACTGGAGTGTGGGCAGTGATAAGTAGGGAAGTAAAAAAACAACTTTGCATTAGTTCGAGTCTTTATTTTAAGACAAAAAGTAGTTTATGACATTTAGAAAAATAATGCACCCATCATTAAGTAAAAAAAAAAAAACATCACAAAGCAGATAAACAATTATTCCAATAGTTAAAAAAGCTAGAAATGTATTTAATATATGTTGCAGTTGTCAGAGGCTTTATTAAGTTGGTACATACAAGCAGCACATATATTTATACATAAAATTCTTCTGCAAATCATGAAAAGTTGGTATTTTACTCATGACAAACATTTGACTTGAAGATGTTCGTGGAAACCTCAGGAGGATTCTGAAAGCGTCCTGATTGGCGACTTGCAGTTTCTTTACTATATACTGACTGTAGTCACACCACATGTAAGCTATATAAAACATGCTGCATTAAGTTCCAAAAATAAACTATTTAATCTTATCTGCTAAATTTCAGTGCCGGTACATTAGCTTGCATACAGGGCAAAAGTTAGGATACATCTAAGGGCCTTTGACTGACAAGGGTTATTTTTTATATTAATAGAAAAAAATAGGCCCACTGTCAATAATATTATTTTTTGTTTTTCTTGTTTTTAGCAGTAAAAATGAAAAGTTACTATTCCCAGATCAAAAGCAAGCATCCGTATTTACTGAACACCCCTGTGGATCTCCTTGGTGGACTTTGAGGATTATATTCACATGTAGTCATGGAACTTAATAAACAAAAACAACTGCTAAGGTTAATTAGGATTCCACTTGAAAGCAGAATGGGGGGGATTATGTAGTATAAACAAGTCTTGGCATGACTGCAGTTGCCAACATCCAAGGTCTTTCTCATCTCCGCTATTAAGAATACAGAAAATTCACAGAAACGAAAATTAATGACATTTATGGATTGGCTGCTTTGCAAACATCAGATTTAGAGCATCTGATATAGCATCTCACTTATTTCAGTTTCCCGTCTAGTATTTTCTTTTGCATATTTTAATGATGTGTGCTTTAGAAAACGAACATTAATAGCTGTCTCCCAACTACTGAGGGGTTGATGGTGGTACATAAAGACATTTGTCCATTAGGTCCAAAGGGCTGATGTTCACAGACTCAAGAAATGTTTCTAAGACCTGGTCCAAAAGGTGAGATAAACCAAATATCCCACCCTCACTCCTAACCAGCTTTAAACAGAATTTCTGCTTTTTCTTTTTTGATATATTTTACAAGGAAAAAAAAAGCAAAGAAAAGCTTTAATATGTATAATAGTCAATCTGTGTGAGATAAATGACTCCTACTTACTTTTGTGGGTTTTTGTCTTGTGGGAATCCAGTTTACTAGCATACATGAAGCTCTTCCCGCACATTTCACATGGAAAATTCCTCTTACTTGTGTGTATTTTCATGTGTGTGTTTAAATGATGAGGCCGCGAGAAGCTTTTTCCACATGTTAGACATGGAAAAGGTTTCTCACCTGTGTGGATGCTCCGGTGTTTCTGTAAATGATCAATTCGCGAGAAGCGTTTTCCACATTTTTGACATGAAAAAGGCTTCTCACCTGTGTGGATTCTTTTGTGAACATTCAAATTTGCACCAATTGTAAAGCATTTTCCACATGTATCACATGAAAAAGGTTTCTCACCTGAATGAAGTTTCTTGTGCAGCTTAAAATAACAACCGTGAGAGAAAGTTTTTCCACATGTATCGCATGAAAAACTCCTCTCACCTGTATGAATTCTCTTATGAACGTTTAAACATTCTATCCGAGCAAAAGTTTTTCCACATTTTTGACAAGAAAAAGGCCTTTCACCTGTGTGGCTTCTCTTGTGAGCATTTAAGCTATACCTCTGACTGAAACTTTTTCCACATGTTTGACAAGAAAAAGGCTTCTCACCTTTATGGGCTCTGTAATGCCTTTCCAAGCTGCACTGACTTGTAAGACTTCTCCCACAAAGCTCACATGTGAAAGACCTTTGCTTTTTGTTAGTACTGGACTGTCTCTCTGACACAGAGGAGCTGCTTCCTTCCTCATCTTTGCTTTCAACTCCAGGAGAAATTTGAAAGGAAAGCTGCTCAGTTGTTTTTTCTAGGTCACTGAAACTGCCTTCCTGAAGAGCGGATGTTTCCGTCCCAGAAACATCCTGCTTGTGGACAAGCAGCTTTCCCGCCTGCCTGCTGCAGAGGGCCGTAGCGGCGCTTCTGGTCCTCTCTACCCGGCAAATATTCTGATCACGTTTAAGCACCGAAATATCTGCTTCCACATTTTGTCCGTGTATCCCCAGAGATTCTGGTTCTTTCTCTTTCTTAATCTGTTTCGTTTCTGGATCTTTCCATTCTTGAACCAGTTCTGGTTCATCTTCTTCTTCTTTAATCCATGGATGATCTGGTTCCCTTTTTTCAATCACAAGCGCTTCTGCTTCCTCCTGGTCATGACTGGACCTCTGCCGCTGGTGACGGACACGGTGGATAGTTGAAGCTTTTTCCTCAATTGAAACTTGAGGCTTTTGGAGGTCTGTGGGGGGAAATGAAGACAACATTAATATAATTAAATTGATGACTGTCTCATTCATCAGGCTGCTTGTTCCTTGATCTCTTGCTGTAGGTATGAGAGTTCAAAATTAGTTTGAACTGTTTAACTGAAAAACAGGAGAAGCTTGCAGTTCATGTGTCATCCACACTAAATGGCAGCTCTGGTAAGGATCCTTAAAAGATTTAAATAAATCCTGATTTTATTCCAGGACAAACTTTCGTACCTAAAAAATATTGAACAACTAAACCTGTAATATTTATTTAGTCGGAACTAAATAAATACTCAAACACATTTAGAAACCTCTAACAAAATCATCACTGGCATAGCAAACAATTCTGATAAAATAAATCTAACTGAAGTATTTAAAACCACATCTGAGTCTTTCCACATTTCTTATGCCTATACACTTATTCTGATTTATACAGTTTTAATCAGAATATTGTCAAAATCACAGAGATTAGTTGTGCATCGCAGTCAGGGACCACAAGGACAAAATAGCTGAGATCTGACTAATCCCCCTTTTTAATTAAAAAGAATGAAATGTATGAAAATATTTTAATACAGTAGGTGGTATTTAGCATTTTTGTTGCATGTAAACCTTGAGCAAAATGAACAAGAAATTGTAAAATCACAGAAAGGAGATCTTCAGGCATTTGAGTCGCCATAGAGTCGGGCATTGAGAGAACTGGGCTTGCTTGACTGTTAAAGGCAGAATGTAGATAATTTCAGGAAATGTGTGTGTGTGTGTGTGTGTGTGTGTGTGTGTGTGTGTGTGTGAGTGGGGGTGTGTATTTACTGGGCCACTCTGACCTGAGAGTCAGGAAGGAATTCAGCACTTGGCAAGGAGAAAGATTTAGCTGTGTTTAAGCAGTCATGATAGGAAACAGATGTTGATCAGCCAAACAAAGAACTGGATTGGTCGAGAATTACAAACACACACACACACACACACACACACACACACACACACACACACACACACACACACACACACACACACACATACACATACACACACACACACACACACACACACACACACACACACACACACACTATGAGACAAGTTCAGGGGCAAACATGTCCCACTCAGTATGGAAAGCTGAAGGCTCTCTGAGATTTGTGTGATGTGTATTTTGTATTTTCAGAGTTGGCACAGAAACCAAGTCCTGTGTGAGAATCTGTTTTTTGCCATATTTTTTACTTCTTACAGAAGCATCCAGCTTTATTTGGAATAAAACTAGATCTAATCTGTATTCAGTGGTAATACAGATTACCATTGAAAACATTTTTAGCTTTAATAAGATGTATAAAAGAAAGTCTTTCTCAGAAGTGGCACAGTAGGGCTGGGCAATATGGCTTAGGTTTCATTTGTGGGATAATAATTATGCTATTAATTAATAATTACAGCTTTGCAGTTTCAGTCAGTGTAATGTTTCAGATCATTCTGATCTGGAAGGAATGTGTTTCTGTAACAGCAAACCACTCTGGCCTGAAAAGTCAGGAAGCATTTCAGATGTGGAGAGATGTGGAAATAGGAATCATAAAAGCGCTGTAAACAATTTTGAAATATCCCAGCTGTGGACATTTCCTGGAAACATTCACTGGACTCCAGCAAGAGATTTGGGTCAGCTAAAGAATGGAGTGAAGAACTACACACACACACACACACACACACACACACACACACACACACACACACACACACACACACCCCCACACAAACACACACACACACACACACACACCACACACACACACACACACACACACACACACACGGGCATAAATACGCTCTACTCTATGCGACAGTCGGGTTCTGAGAGTTTTGAATAGAACTCTTTCAGTTTTATCTGAAAGATAAAAACAGATAGAAATTTAGTTTTCACTCCCCGACATCTACTCAACATATTCACTGAATTACTGGAATCACTGTTGCTCAGGTTCCTTCACCTGGAATTAATCCACTTTGACCCAAATGGAAACATCTGCACTTGCTTTTTAGAATGATTCTGTTTTCGTTTGAGATTCAAGATCATTTCTAGAATCTGCTCCCAGTCTGCTGCATAGAAATGTATTTCTAGATGTCAATGAGTAAAGCCTAGCAGCAGGTATTGTTGTGGTCTGTTTGTTTTCTTACAGCCTTGCCCCTGTGGGGTCAGGATGGGTGCTGGTGTCTATCTCCAGCTAACGTTCTGGCCGAGAAGCGGGGTAAACCCTGACGTCGCCAGTCCGTCGCCGGGCACCATCAGGACCAAAACCTGCTAATTCAAGCTAGTTATTGGTTTTGACTATATGCCTCAAATCAGCCGCTGGCTGCAGAACCAGCAGAATCATCATCTACATTCTGCTAATGTTCAAACCTGCAGAGAATCAAAGTTTCACTGGCAGC